AAAATATATAGTTAGGTAGTCACAAAACATAAAACATGCTGCCATGATACAAATATATTTTTTGATACAGAAATTACAGTACATTATAAACCATGAAAACAAATTGAGGCACTGGACTGTACACCGGCTCTGTTCTGCACTGGCTGTGAAGCAGATAGACTCGCTTTCAATGAACAAAAGAATATTTTTTGTTTGTTCAGTGAACATAACTTTATGGGTCATATCAAACAATGTGCTTTGTTGTGAGTCGTCACCAGGGTTGCTGGTCCTTTCAGAACCACAACGCACCTACACAACATGTATCGCTGCCACAATATGAAAAATAAACCTTTTATTGAAGGTACAACTCGGGGGAAAAAAAATAAAACCAACTCAAACAAAACCAGCCCCTTCAGATATCATTAAATAAATAATTATTCCATACAATGGTTAGTTTATATTACACTGCCATCGGAACAAATGAAGTTTAATAAATAACGCACGGGAATGTCTCATTTACGCCTCCGTTCATAATTCTGTGCTGTGCTTCTTTCAGAGGATCCTGCAAAAAAAAAAAAAAGAAAAGAATAAGCAGAATGAAGCACAAGGTAAGGTCAGAGCCCACCGGGTCACTCTGTTTGGAACCGAGGTGAGGGCTCCCTGCCCAACCCTGAGCTCCTTCCCAGGTTTGAACCCACCCTGTACACAGGGACACCTTTCCCTAAAATCTGTGGCAGGAGCTAAGCACACCCTGGACTACCCTGCGTGCTAACTACTGCCTAAAATAGTCCTCTGTGAGATATTTGGCATTTAAGAGCAGTGCAGCTCTCCTTCTTGCTCTTCTCAGACAGACCCTGAGCACAGAGTGACGAGGCTGCTCGCAGCATCATCCCTGCTCACAGCCCAGAGGGAGAATTGCTTTAGAACATAGAACAGTTTTGGCTGGAAGAGACCTTCAACATCATCGAGTCCAACCTTTTCCCAGCCCTGTCAACACCACTGACCCGTGTCCTTCAAGGGAACATCCACCCTTCTCTCAAACACCTCCAGGGATGACCCAACCGCCTCCCTGGGCAGCCTGTTCCAATGGCTGACAGCCCTCCGAGTAAAGAAATTCTTCCTAATATCCAACCTGAACCTCCCCTGGTGTAACTTCAGGCCATTTCCCCTCCTCCTATCACTGACTCAGCATTTGTGGGTGCCTGCAGACACGTAGCTAGTTTGGAGGGGGGTTCGACGCGGCGTCCTGCAGGGAGCTGGCATTTTATATCGGTGACGGTTCTAAATTATTAGTTTTTCATTAATAAGGCTTCAACTTTCACCAGGATAAATGCAAAAATAAGTCAAGCTTTCTCAGTACCGACTGCTACATTATCTTTACTGCATTTAGGGTGTCAACTCCTACACGTTGCCGATCAAATATCCTGCCCAATTAAATCTCTCTCAGGAGAGAGAAGTAAGGACAGTGCTAGCACACACTCCTGATCTTCCTTCGATTACAGAGTCCTTAGGACCTGTCTTCTCTTCCAGAGGAGCAGAAGCAACTTCTTGCCGTTTTCCTCTCAGGGAAGCAGGCAGAGAAGCAAAGAAATCTCGTTTTACCTGTCCGACAGGTATTGCGCAGCCCAATGGGATAAAACTTCATTACGCCCCTTTGTTACAAATACCACATAACTGTATCCTGACTATACCAGCAATTTCGAAATTAGGACAATAAAATCTTCTCCCTTCTTAGACACTTGTCATACTTTTCATTCTCCTATTAATGTATATGTAATCCCAATGGAAACCAAACCCAATTTATTACTTCCAGGCTATTTGCTTTTGTAATAGCAGATATATTTACAGGTTTTATGCCTTTAATAGCTATTGCCACCACAGATAAAATTGTTCAAAAATTATTCATGATACATAGCAATTTGCAAAATGATGCAGAGAGCAATATTACCAGTCTGAACAGGGTTTAATTGAAAATAAGAGTTACTGACAACCATAATTGCAGAATATAGATCACAGCGTGTATCCACATAATATAGAGGTGTCAGCTAGTAATTTAACTTTTATCATCCGTCTAACAAAACAGTGAGAACTATTTCATGACATTAAAATACATATTAAGGAGTTTTTTTTATTTTTTTAATTTCTATTCTGGGGAATTAACTGACACTTTATGGTTCACAGAAGGGGATTTCCTCGGCACAGCCCTATAGCACAGGGAATAGCGCTGGCAGCGTGTGGTTACCCACAGGGGTTGCGCACACGAGGGAGAAGGATTCTGCCCTATATGGACGGTGCAGGAAAAAACCACAAATTCACAGTATCAGCTCAAAGCTTAAAATTATGCTTTGGGAGTTTTGGTTGATTTTTGGATTTTTAGGGGGGTGGGGATTTTTTTTGTTTTGTTTTTTTGGGGGTTTTTCTTTAGGTAAAATGAAAAGCTGGAAGAGGCTGGGAATGTTTAATAGCTTAGCCTGTAGAATGAGGTGGTGTTAATCACAGATCTCTGCTCTTCCACCTTCTGCTCCAAGTTTGGGGAGTAACAATCTCCAGAGATGATGAGGGTATCCCTTTACCTGGGGAGATCTGCATTTGGATCATGGGTTTAAATGAGCTTTACATTTTCAGCCTCTGAATTCTTAATTTTTTTTTTTGATGTGTCAAAAATAAATTATTTTTTTCCTTGTATTAGCACTTTGGGGACCGGCAGAAAGCATGCTGCTGGCAAGGTCAGAGCAATAAAGAAAGCATTCGGGGGATTTCTACCTAACCTTGCCTGCAGCTCGGAGAACCTTGATCATCTCAAGCATTAGGGTGAAGCAGACCCTTAAATATCTTGGCTACCAAAGAAAATCCCCATCGTTTTTCAGACAGCTCTGGATCTACACTACATCAAGATTGCTCCTTCCATCCACTGGGAGAGAACAAAGAGGCGTATCAACGAGTACCAGATTTAGTCATATACATACCAGAATTTAAAGATCTTTTGCCCATAAGTCCAACAAAGGAGTCTGTTTTATGCCCTGAAAAAAAAAAAAATATATTTGGGGGTGTCTTAATACATTTTAAATAGGCAGGTTTTTAAGACAACATGTTCTCGCAAGGAAGGAAGACACAGGCTCCAACACTCTCATCTCACAGACTGGTTGTTCACACCGTCAAGAATGAGCACCAGTTGACTAATCTCACTAAACCAGTTAGACTAAGGCACAGACCAGTTACTGGGCATCTCATTAACTCAGAAAGACTTCGTTTTGCATGGGTTTTGTTTGTTGTTGTTTTTTTTTTTAAGTATCATGGGAAAAGCAAAGACCAATAACTAATTCTTCATTTTCTCCCAATACAATTCCTACTGATTTGAGCAAACGCACAAGGCGCCTGTGTCTTGGTGTCACCTGTGTGATGCATCTCCTCTACCAATCAGTGCATTTTTCTGTAACATGAAAGAAAAAAAAAAATCTTCCCCACAGGTCAGGCAGAGCCCTTACTGGAGAGGAAGCCAACAGAACTCTATGTCTGGACACGTCCAAGCGAGACAGTCTGGCTCTATTTTTGGAATATTTATGAGTTCAGATATTACCTCCCTGTCCCATTAGTGGTCCCCAAGGCACTGGATGGGTAGAGGATAAATTACTTCACGTTTTGGCCTATGGCATGTAGCAGATATAGTGGTAGCCATAGTTTCAGATAAGGATTGAAAAGGAGCCAGTGCCATTCTTTCTCTAAACTGACTTTGAGGTAAACTTAGACATTTTAGAATTTTGCTTGACTAATTCAAGCAAACCATCCTTAGACCCCGCAGATATTAATTCAAGCTGAAACAGTTTCAGAAAAAATACAATTTTTTTTACTCCCTTCAGCAGGTTATTTGGCATGAGCTTCATACTGGACTCTTTTAATTGGTCTTTTAATACAGAATCCTAGTGACAAAATCTTGTGGCTGACAAAACACCAGGACAGTTATTGATCTCCGTGGACAGAGGAGATCTCACAGAATACAAGATCACTGTTAAGACTTATTAAAAGTCATCCAGCTCCTGCCTAAGCATTTTCAGATCAATTCAGAGAATAAAACCCTCGCTGTGCAGCACAAGGTACCACCAGACCGCTGTTACACAGAAGCAAAGCAAGGCGCTCCTATTAACGGGGCAAGATACGCTGATTTATAAGGCAGCACATCATCAATCAGCCTCTGCCACGGCCAGGGGTCCGATTCCCATCCCAACAAGAGTTTCTGTGCTCTCAGTATCTCATATGCCATGACACAGGCTTTCTCACGGAATCATTCTCAGGGATTTGGGAATTCACGATTCTAATTTTCCAGATTTTTGCCATCTTAATTGCTTCTTTCCGAGTCTGGCAGTAAGCCTGGCTTGCCTGTGAGAAAAGCTTACAGAATCCTCCCCATGGGAAATAAGAGAGACCTGCAACATCCACACATTAAGGTGGATTGAAATCTCAAAGCTTGTGGCAGCTCCGATGTACAGGCTCGTGGCTGCACCACAGAGGTTTCAATCCTTTAACAGAGTGTTTCTCTGCCACCGGTGCTGCCAGTCCTTAGCTGAACCAGCCACCTTCTAACTCATCCCCTCAAACACACCATTCCCTATTTGAGTATCCTCTAACAATTACTTAAAATATTTACAATTCTTTCACTTACTTTTGTGAGAGATCTGGCCATATCCTGATTGGAAGAGGGAAGAAAAGAGGCACAAAAGGGAAAAGAGTTGTTGAAAAAGGGTTGACATATACACATGATGTTACTGCAACGCTTTGAAGAACCGAATACCAAAACTACCCCATGCGTATTCCACTTGAGAGAAATGGTGGTGATCACTTACAGTTGCATTTTCTTTGAAGACATTTCAAAAACTTGTTTTAGCTAAACCCTCACACACGATTTAGATCCGCGTAGCTCTAATTTCTTAGATCAGTTTCTCAGCCGGTGAACACATAAAAAACCACGGCTGATTTCCCCACGAGTGATTTCCCCACCGGGGCAGCGCTCGGTGGTGCCTTTGCAGACCCGTGATTATCATCACGCTCTTGATGGGTATTTACGTGCTGCAGTTGGCATGTACTTAGTACTGTCACGTGAAGCCCCCCCTTTTCTAATCGGCGAGTTCATCTGATATTAACCTTGTGGGGGGAAAAAATAACAAATAAAAGCCAACCGAAACGGAGCAACCTACGCTGCAACTTTTAAGAAAGGTTTAACGCATCAACCCACCCGAGCGACAACCGCTGGGTTGTTGGAGCAGCGCTAGAACCATAGAAGTGTCAGGGTTGGAAGGGACCTTAA